CAAGCGTTGCATTCGCATTTGTATGCAACTGCTGGCGTAGACGACATTGATTTCTCTTATCGCAACTTGTTGTGTGGGGGGTGGGGGCAAGAGGTAAGGGATCTGAGGTCGACAATGCGAGTACTGCGAGTGCTGCGAGTGGCGTTGACGTTTTTATTTGATATTTAAACAATGCGAATGCCGTCGCCACCGCCGCCTGGCTGGCAACCAAGGCGCAGTCAAGACACTAGGCGCTAGCTGCTACTCGTATCCTGGCAAGGCCTGCCTTAAGGTCACACTCCAAGCCGCATGCCATGCATATTAAGCGACGATTAAGCAGAAGCTTCTAGCTATGCCACATGCCACATGCCACATGCCACATGCTGTTGCATGGCCATCATAACAATGCTGCACAGCTCATCAGTATGTGCAGCAGGCGTCACAAATACCGCATCATCTAGATATAAGTCTTCCTCTTTCCCTCTGTCTCTGTGTGTAATTAAAGCTTAAGACGCGAACGCGATTTATCGATTTTATGATAAAAAAGTTACAGCAACAGCTGTGTACCCAAAGGAGACCAAGATTTGCCACGCCTAATTAAATTTGTAGGACATGCCCATATTTCCTTTTTTTTGTAGTCCACCAATTCCCTAGACAGACAAAAGGAACTGACAAATTGTGCGCAGCCAGCAAAGGTCACAATACACACTATAAATAAGGTACATTTCATAAGGTTGCAAGTTTTTGTGGTTATCCCACACACACACACAGGCATGAACACCCTTCATTAATCATAAGTGTGTGTGTGTGTTGCATGTGATTTATTAATTTGCCTGTGGGCAGAGCTGAGCAGACAATATGGATACATATTGAGTTATCACTCAATCAAAACTGTATTAGCTGTCGAGTTGTTCTTGTGGCTGTGTGTCATTGTCTTAATGCCCTGAGCGTGTGTAATTTGCGTGCTCCTGTTGTTGTCGTCGTTGTTGTTATTGTTGTTGTTGCTGGCCCGTCAACGCCATTAAAGGCAGCCGAAAACAAATTGATTTCATTCATGATTTAACAGTTTGCTCGATTGGGCGCACACGCAAGCCAATTGCCAAGATAATCCTCAGATTGTTTATTTGCACAGTTTTATATACAGCTCACACACACACTAACACACAAACCATAACTCTAATGAATTTTGTGTCAGCCTTAACCGCAGCAGAGTCCCAGCAGTCCCAGCAGTCCCAACATTCGCTTGAGTTTGTATTTTAACAATCTTAAGGGATTATCGGCACGTCAATAGCTTCTGCACACATCGAAGCACAGTTATGCATATATCAGTGTGTGTGTGTGTGTGTATGTGTATTGGCATAATGCTACATATACCGTTGGGGCTTTCAACGGAATTTATTTTGCAAAGTATTCATATGTATGTAAATCGGAGCTGACCGCGTGACTTGGCTGCCAATGCACATCGCCCTGATGCGAAAGAAAGATAAAGGAGCCAGGGCGAAAGCATTAATTAAAATGCAAATTGAATTAAATTCAAAATTAAATGCTTTATATTAACATATATGCAGTAATTCAATTGAAAATTTTAATATATGCATATGCTAGCAGAGGAAATGTTATCGCCAAGGATATCAAAGTAAGTGACAGAGTTTCGCCTGCCCGACTATATACATATATATAAAATGAATAATCTAAAAAATTAAAATATTGAATCTGATTAGCTGACTATATGTATTAATAACTTTCATGCCTGAAAGCGTAGTAATATGAGAAGATTATTCAAAACTGAGCTGATCTTGAAGTACTTAAATATTTGTGGAGAAAACTTTTACTACTGCAAATTGAAGCAGCGAAAATATAGCTTAATATATACACAGAACTTATGTGACAACTTATATTCTAGCTCAATCAGAAAATCAAGCTATGAGAATTATCTCTAATTTCTATGGCCATATATAGACTGCTAAATTTTTAACACAAATATTTGCTGCAGTTGAAATACAGCTTGAGTCCAGTCTAATCGCCCCGAGTATATTCTACCAAATCAAATTCTTTTCCATGACTACCTTAAGCTTATCGAGTTCTCAATTCTCTGTTATACCCGTGAAATGCAATAAAAACCAGAAAAATTGATTGATTGACAATGCACTTTAGTTATCAACATGTGTTGGCATCTGCATGCTGTGAAAATGATGAATACTGCATAAGGAGATAAATAAATAATTGTGCAAACTGTGAAAGCAGCGTAGCATATGCAAGGGCACACACACACACACAGACATACAGACAGACAGACAGATAAAAACATACATATAATATATTTGTATATATTTTACACACATTACATATGTATATTTATTTGTTCATGCATAAAAATTGATTTCAACGCATGTTGAAAATCAAGCATGATAATCTGTTCGAGCGAAAAGCAATTAATTCATGGAAAAGTCCATTAAGTATACGCCATGTGCAACCAACAAGGAAAGCCCAATAAACGCTTGATTAAATCGTGCCAAGTGAGCCAAAGTGAAAAGTGCGCTCTATAGATTTTGTCAGTAATTCAAAGCTGGCTCTTTCGGCCAAAGGCTCTTTGTGCCTGGTTTCTTGTGAAAACAACAAATTACGCACATGCTGAGCTGCTGAGCAGTCGAGCAGTTGCCCAGTTGCTGGTTGATGCGGTTGCAATTAGTTGCTGTTGGCGCAGCCATTGTGGCAAGTTAATGAGCGCAATTGCTTGCAATTAAATTGCAACAATGAACATGTTGCAGGCACACACAAAAGCCCAACAAGCACTGCCCCCAACTTGAAGGACCCAAAAAGGCTTCCGGGCTGCCAAAAATGCATGCAATTAATAAAGGGTGTGTGTGCGAGGCTATGTGTGGGAGCGGGTATAGGTGTACAGGTGTGTTTTGTGTGTGTGTGCTACTATTTACAACATGTGGCAAGCACTCACCTGCCGCTGCAGTATGTAACTAAATTCCGTTGCCGTGTTGCGTCGACTGTCGTTCATTTTGCCGTCTTGCTGCGAGTTTTATGGCCAAAGTTTTAACAGCAACTGCCTCAGTTTTTGGGCTTAGATTTTAGTTTTTGCCTAAGTTCAGTTTAGCTAAGTTAATTCAAGTTTAGTTTCAGAAATCAGGTGGGTGTTTGGTCTCGCTTCCGCTGTAGCTGCTTCACGACCTTTGACTGCACTCAGCGACCATGTGAAAATGCTATTCGAAAACTCATTTAACGAAAACACCAGTTGCCTGAGAATTTAATGAAAATGTTAAAAAAGAAACTATTAAATGAAATGAAAAACTTTCATAATTCAAAAACTTTCAACCTAAATATATACGAATAACTTTCAGAAGTTACTTTTGACAGCACTCAGAATACAAGTTTTATGGTTTTTGGCTTCATGAACGAATAATCATATATAGGACTATTAACTTTTCAGGTTATTATTTAAAAATAGTTCTACTTTTAATCATAAAGCCATGTCAAAGAAATATATGTATAAACTAATTAAATAAATAAATTCTTAAAATTAAAATGAATATAAAAACAATAATTATTAAAATATGAAAATAATATTTTCAATATTAAAAATTAATTATGTGGAAAAAATAACACTAATTAAATAAATAAATTCTTAAATTTAAAATGAATGAAATATAAAAACAATAATTATAAAAATATGAAAATAATATTTTCAATATTAAAAATTAATTATGTGGAAGTAAAATAAATTGTTCAAATAAATCAATATTAACTAACAAAATAATTATATATATAAAATAATGTATAATAAAATACAATTTTTATTTTATCAATTAAAACAGAAAATAAAATAATTACATATGTTATGAACAATTATTAAGAAATATTTAAGCACAAAAAATTATTTTTTTTTTGTTAAATATTTTCATAAAAAATATAAATCTGAACAATAAACAAAAAATTAAGTATTAGAAAAAAATGAATTTAAATAAATATATATATTTTTTAAATTCAAATTAAAATCTAAATATAATGCTATATATAAATTAAAACATAAATAATAATATAAATTAAAGTTAAAATATTTTAAATAAAAAATACCTAAATACTCTAATATCTATATATAAATATTTATATTTAAATTATAAAACTGAAAATGCATAAAACACTTTCTTAAATCTGGCATATCCTATACATTTGACTGCAAGATTCACTTTCAATTGCCGCGCAGCCCCAAGCATTTGCTTCGCTCTCAACAGCTGCACAACAGCAGCGATAGCAAAAACTACAATTCCAACAACACTTTCAACAAAGCACATAAAAATGTACATAAATATTCAATTGAAATCGTTTAACAATTAAATTCAATTAATTTGGTAACAGTTTTCCTTAATTGGTTGCATTTCACATTTACTTTTCGGTTACGTTTCGAGCGAGTTTTCGATTGGGCTGCGAATTGGTTGCTTCGACGCTTTCGTTGAGACTGCTGCAATACAAATATATTGCAAAACTCTCAACAAGGATAACGTTGGCGTCCTCGTCGTCGTTGTCCTGTCGTCTGCCGATGTTGTCCTCGTCTCGCGTTCTATTTGCCGTTGAAGTTTTGTGCTCAATGCTTCGCAGCTGTTTGCTGCGCATTATGTTGTTGTTGCTGCCATTTGACTTTGAAATCGCCAACAATAATGCACACACACACACACCCACACCCACACAGCACAGGCTGCGCACTCAGAATAACAACAAAAAAGCCGGAAACGAAAGCGAAAGTTGCCAGACTGCTAAATCAAGTTTAAGACAATAGCAAGCGAGACAACATATTGACTACAGCTCAAATTTGCCATAGCGACATGAACATTTTATAGCACTTTACAACACATGAAAACACTCATTTCAAACTGAATAATAACGGTTATGGCACCGATTGCATAAAGCAGCAACAGTCCGGCAGCGCTGGCATTTCATTCATATCTGCCAAGCAACAACAGCCAGAGAGAGAGAGAGAGAGAGTGAGAGCGCGCTGAGACCAACTTTGTACACGTGTTTTGAAGTTGCGCAAAGCATTCGCTAGATGGCGCAGGAGATGTCTAAGGCGGATGTCACAACGGTTAATGGAAATTATCTATAACTTATATTTAAATTAATAAAAATAAAGTAAAATTTAATTTCTTTAACTCACTTTACCGATTTCTTTATTTAACAAGGGCAACAAACAATCCCATTAGACAACAACTTCTAACGCCAAGGCACAACACGATACTCCTGCAGCGCTTCATCGTACGTATAGCTAATGTCGATCTCTTCATGCAACAGCACCTTTGCATCCAGCAGTCGATGCAGAATCATGGCCGTGCGTCCATTAAACTTATTGCCGTACAGCTGCAAGCGTTTCAGGCGACACGGTTTCTTGAGGCTCAACAAAATAGAGCTGACTGCCTCAGCACCGATCTCATTATTATTCAGATACAAATGCTGCAGCGAATAGCATGAGCTGAAGTACTTGGCCACCCACTCGCCGCCATGCGAGCCAATGCAATTGCCACTGATATCGAGCAGTTTCAACGTGCCGCCCAGTGCAGCACTGCGCATCAGAAACAAAGCACCATCCGCTGCTATCAGATTGTTGGCCAGATGCAGTTTGCGCAGCGAGCATTGCGGACTCTGCAGATATTCGGCTATAATCTCCATGTCCTGGGCAGTAAATTCACACAGCTCCAACGTGAGCTCCGTCAGTTTTCTTTGCATCAGCAGCGAGCCCACAATTGAGATCATTTTCTCTGTATCCAAGGTCAAGCCGGCGCCCAGCAGTCGGCTCACATGAAAGCAGCGCATACTGGTCGAATTATACACTCCATCCGCCACAATGGCAAAGTTATATTGGGTCAAGCTACAGCAGCACACATTCAGCGTATGCAGCGTTTTGCTGGCCAGCAAAAAGTTACGCAGCATGCTTACATCGTCGCATGTTAGTGGAGTGCCTACGTGGTTGACTTTGTATAGAGCGCTGTGCTTTATCAAATGGCATTCAGCACTTACCCTCCAGGCTCAGTTCCTTAACCTTCATACACTGCGCTTTGAGGCGCAACATGACAAAGAACTCATATGGCAAACGCATGAGCTTTAGCTCAATTTGCCAAACGGGCTGCAGCGAGCGCACAAAGTCCTGCAGTAGACGCGGATCCCAATTGCTAAGCCCCACGCTCCAAATGGAAACGGACCGCTGGCAACACTGCAGCAAAAAGTTCACAATGATGCGAAAATCACGTATGCAGTGATAGCGACGATTCAGGCGCTCCTCAAAGTCTACGCGGCGAAACTGAAAGTTCACATACGGACGCTTATCGTACTCCCGTTGCCAACAGTAAAGCAACAACTTGGTGAACAAGCGACCCTTAATTGGTTCAGCCAACGAGCATGCAGGATCATAAACGCAGGCCATGTCGCACATTTTACAAAATTTATTTATGTGTGTGTATTAGATATATGTATATATATAAAGTAGAACTAGTTTGAAACTAATGAGCAGTCGAGCATAGCATAATATACACTTGCATTTTTTTATAGATCAAAAAAACACTTGCATTAGAATGAAAAAGTATTCATGGGAATACTTTATTATTTTAACTCAATTACTCCTGCATATTTGGTTGTATTTGAAACTTAATTAATTGAAAATTCCAATCAGCCAGACATTAGCTCGAATTGACTTCACAACAATTAAAATCGAACTGCCGCAAAGTATGCAATAAAAATATGATTTACGCTTGAAACACCCTGTGCTCGAGCTGCAGCCAGAACGTCGATGAACAGTCAGTCATTAGCATAGTTAGCAGAACTTTTTGCACACACACATACATATACAGACATTTAAGGCTAAAATTACCATAAACGATATTTCATTCATTTGCCAGACTTGACTAGCAAAGACTATGCGCAGCGCACAATGAATTAATTCGCAGCCACGTGGACAAAGCCACTGTAAATATACATATATGTATGTGACCATGGTTAAATGCGTGCCGGCACGCGCCGACTGCCCTATAAATAAGCTCGAAGCATAAAGACAGCAACCCCGAACCTATAGAGACGTATTTTTATTTATAAGATACCAAAAAAAAAGAAAAAGCAACAACAAAACGGAGCAGAAGAACTGAAGGCAGAGGAGAGTGAGAGGGAGAGAGAGCTGTTGGTGCTGACTGTGCATCGTTATGCACGTAGCTCTTGGGGAATGTCTTGAGATATTTTTGCACCATTTAAGGCCTGAGTTGCATCTTCATTTATTTGATTGCCTTTTACGCGACGAATGCTTAAAATTAACGTGCTGCGCTTGCGCAGCTACCAGCTTCATCTGCATCTGACCACCCCTCTCCACAGACCCTTTCTCTCACTTATTGAGCTGGCAGTAAGTAGGCTCAACAGGTGCCCCATTCAATAGACTAGAAATGGCCTGTGTGCAGCATGTGTGCAAACTGTCCTTAGCTAATTTAGTTTCATCAGAAATCAGAATTATTTTTCACTTTTACTACCATCAGAGCAGAGCAGAGGAGACACATAATTATGCATTAATTTATGGCCAAGACCAGACCGAACAGACAGACAGGAGACAGAAGACAGGAGATGTGGGACTGGAGACTGCTGTTCCATGTTGCATGTTGCATGTAGCTGCTTAGTCATCCGGCCAAGATGGCTGACGCAGGCAATTAACAGCGGCGACAATTTGGTGGCCAAATTGAAATTTTAAACTCCGCACATGTGCGATGGCTATCTCTCGCCATACCGTGGCTCGCTTAGAAATCAGATAATTAAAAGAGCGGGCAAAATAAAAAAAAAAAAAACAAAAAAAAAATATTGTATGTTAAAAATATTGTAAAAAGGCAGACAGCCAGACGCTCATAATTGCTGGCAGTCTCAGTTTACAGCTAGTGCAGCCAGACGACAACAACGTCAGCAACAGCAACAGCAACAACAACTACTGCATGTGCATATCATTTAAATAACTTTTAGAAATGCAAAGTGTGAAACTGCAGGCAGAAAGCAAACTATATGCCCATGCCCGGACAGCAGCCAAGGCGTCTGGGCCGACTACCTTATTCACCTGCCACAGGCCACATGCAGCAATAGCAGCAGCAGCAGCGGCAGGCAATGGTCCATATTTGGATGCAACTCTTAAGGACAGCAGCAGCAGCATCAGCATTGGCATCAACATGCACATCAACATCAGCGTATGTCTGCGACGGCCTCCAGACAAACGGCAGACATGTGAGATATATGCACTTGTCTACTCCCTTGGCTGAAACACTCCGCATACAGTCTCTACACACGCACACACACACACGGATACACGCATACAGTAACACAGTATCTGAGGCGCATTCATTGTCAATTTTGACAATCAACAAGATGCGACTACACGCCTGCTTAAATGCCAACATCAACATTACTTACCTCGGCCTCGACCGCTGCCCCATGCTGCTCGGCCCCTTGAACGTCTGCGACGGGCTGTCTGGCTTGGGGTCTCTGATTCTTGGGTCTCCAGTCTCCATCGGTATGAGTACGCGCACTCCGGCTGACTCTGGCTGTATCCCTCTGCCACTGCCGGTGCCACTGGCTCTGGCTGATTGGTGCTGGGCAGAAGCCAAACGACGGCACGCGAAAGTCCTAAAAACCGAAAAAACCAAAATGCACGAAAATTAATAACATCCAGCAATGCAAAAACTAAGAAAATAATAAAACATGCAAATCTTCCTTGATATTGATTTGCGAATACTCTGCAAATCATGTTTCTTAGAGAATGTAAAAATGTAATTAAATTCTGCTTTTAATTGATTCATTTTAAGAACTTTTTTATACTTTTTTGTAAATAATATTTCTTTTATAATCAATTTCTATTTAGTAATCCTTATCTATAGGTAAGGTATATTTATATACTTTGTCCAAATATTTAAATTTTTAATTTAAGTACTTTTTTAAAAACAATTTCAAAATATTCATGTTTCTGTTTAAAAACTTTTTTTAAAATGTTTTTTTTTTCTATTTAAAATACGTTTTTATTTTTTTCAAATTTTTTTTTTCAATTTTAAAAACTTTTAAAGTTATTTTTTACTTTCTGAGTACTTTTTATGTATTTACTTTTTTTTAAATTTATTTTCACTTTCTTCAAATGCTTAAAAATATTTTCAAAAATTTATGTATTTAAAATTTGTTCTTCAAATTTATTTACTTACACGATTTTCTTTTTATATGGCTCTAACTATCTCTATCTATCTATCCATAATCATCTATAATCTACAGATAAGATATAATTGAAGCTGTTGCTTCAACAGACCCCTACCTCCACTTTCTCATTGTTAGATTCCTAATTATTGATGAAGAACCTTATCTATAGATAATTATGCTTAGCTCTCTGAGCTGTCTTTAATTACGTATTTATGGACGCTTATTTATTAATTCTTATTTATAATTTCTTAGCGACAGCTAAGTCTCTTTATCAACGCCACATTAATATTGAGTCATCTATGCATATATATATAAACATGACTGTTTAAATTTTAAAGAATTCCGTTTCCTGATTAAGCATAAAATATTTATAACATTTTTTTCAGTTCCCATATTAACTTTTAAAATAATTATTAGTAATTTCCAAATGCTTGTCATTGTGAAGACTTAACTTGCTTCACATAATCTTAAGGCTCAAGACTAGGGTATACAAGGTAAAACACGGAGAAGAAGGAGAAGAAGAAGCGGCAGCTGAACGACAGCAGCACGAAGAGCCGGCTGCAACGGTAGCCAGCCAGCGGGCATAACACAACAGCAATAACAAATTGGCTCCTGGTCTTTGCATTCCACATGCAATCTGAGACAACAATCACGACAACTGCATTCGGCTACTGCACCCGGCACCAGCAGCAGCAACAGTAGCAACAACAGCAACAGCAGCAACAACAACAACAACAACCGGCAACACCCAAGTGCAGGGCGCTGTTCGCTCGAGCAGCAACAACAGCAACAACAGCAACCGGCTAACTAACCAACTTATTGACTTGGTCTGTGTCTGCCACAGCTACACTGCTGCTGCTGCTGCAACTGTGACCAGTCTGGTCTGGAGCTGTCTGCGCAAAAATCATGTATGTATTTTTAATAGACCTCTGGCGTGCGGCTCTGCTGATGATGCTACCAACTCATGTTATTTTCTGATCTCATGCAATGCCCCATCCACCGCCCGTCCTCTTGCTGCTCACTGCCCACTTCCCACTACCCACTGCGCACTGCCTCACTTTACAATTATATCAATTATGTGTTATATTGATGCTTAAATTCATTTTGTTCGAGTACTTGGGCCAGGCACTCAGACGTTGCTCAATTTTTTATTTGGTGTCGATCCGCAGTATCAATGATATTGTATATTTGGTCATATACATATATTGGTCAGGTAATCTGGTGCTCCGGTTCACTCACCTAGCCCGCTGATAAGCAGACTGATCCAGTGCGTGTTAGATACGCCGGAGAACTGAACGCAACTTATATTAGTTTTTATTTTTAGAATATGCCCAACACGCGGTAATTGCTTCTGATAATTGTTTAAACACAATCTTAAACGTTAAGTGGTTTATTGACCAAATGTTTTTTTGTTTTTCTTGTGCAGCTACTGGTCTTGTGAGTTTTGTTAGTTCGATTTAATTTTAATTACAAGAAGAGGAGTCCAACTACCACACACCTGTCACCTGCCACCAGCCAGCTGTTGCAAAAACAAAACCACTTAAAAATACTTTCTGTGGGAGTCTGCTCGACTTTGAGCTGCGCTACCTGTACTTATCGATCTTAAGCCAAGCTGCGCCAAACTGCAGTTTCCTTAAGCTGATTTGCATACTGAGTTAAGCGTGTTTAGGTCTCAAAGGTGCTCAAATCCGAAATTTTAAAAATATTAATTATATTGTTATCGATAGGAATATGTCTTAGAGCGAAAGTCATTGAGATATCTGGGCCTGCAGAGCAGACAGAAGCAGAAGTCACACTTGATATGAGCTACTGTTACTACCAACGTCCGCGGTCCACACTTTACTCTCCTACACAACTATTATACACATGCTTCACATATATTGATTAGAGTGAGAGAAAGAGAGAGGGAGTGAGAGTGTGTGCGAAGTGGTTCCCTTTATGGCGAAAGGTGGACGACGCAACTTTTAATGACCAGCTGAAAGTTCTTGTCGATTGTACAAATTAAAATTTTGTTTAACTGGCGTGAGACACGCCGCCTTGTCAAAAATTGTTTTCGATACACAAATAGCGAAAAAACTGTGCAAAAAATTGAGCTAAATATATATATATATATAACTAGATCTATATATATATGCAGAAATAGTTTTAGCTAGCTGAGATCAAAGGGAACCAAGGCAATTGGCACTAGGCTAACTGCCAATTACAATGTTTTCATATTGCCTTTGGCGCGCAGGGGCGTGCCAGGGACTGCGTGTAGTCTTTTGTCTAGCCTTGAAATTAATGAACTATCGAATGCTGCTGCTGCTGCTGCTGCTGCTGCGTGTGGCTTTGGCTTTGGCTTTGACTCATTTCGCGTTCCAATTGTCGTCTACATAACACTTTTGACTGCCTCTGATTGACTCTTTATTTTTCTTCTGTTATTGTCCACGAAGTGGGGCAAATTCTATGCAAATGTGTGTACAAGTCAAATAAATAAACATTATTATATAAACGTCTCGACAAATGTCGCGCGCGTTTCTTTTTTTTTTTTTGTATTCATTCTAAATGCCTTTCTGGGGGTCTGTCGATTGAAAGAGCTCGGTTTTGCTCTCTTTTTCGTTGCCTATTCCTTAGCTTGCCAGCTGAGATTATGATCTGTAGCATTTGATGCGATTGCAACTTTGCATAACAGACGACGTCTGGCCGAGCCCACCACCCGCCCCCCAAATGCCATGTAGGTGTTTCATTTCAAGCCTCAACAATGTGTAGACATATAATGCATAACGGCCAGACAACCAGACAGACAGTCTGTCAGACAGACAGACAGCCGAACAGCCAGTTAAATGGTGTGAAATCCAGACTTTATAAAGTGCTCCAAATTATACAATCATTTTGAAATTCAATTTAGACCAGACGGCAAAAAAAGAACACACGCAAAAATTGTGTAGAAAAAAACACGATGATGATGACATGTGATAAGCGTGTCTTCTTCTCTCTGGCTGATGCTATATCCAGAAGAGAGCAGCCGAAAGTAAATAAATAAATAAATAAATAAATCAGCAACGTCCTTGAAGTCGCGCTTGTGATTTCCGTATATGCGAATTGTACAAAAATATCAAATTGAATGTGAAACAGAGATATTTGGAACAAGTCGACAGCGAGGCTTAAAGCTGCAGCTCAAAGGCAATGCAAGGGAAACAATGGATATGCTAGAACTTTTATAGATTATAAGCTGATGAAAATTATATTGTAAGGAAGTTTTGGTAGAAACTTAACACATTCTTGAGTTAAGCTTCAATTTAAGCTCAACTCACAGTGGTAGAAAGGAGATAGGAAATGGTAGAAACTTCACAAATTCCTAGCATAACTTTCAGTTTAAGCTCAACTCGCGAAAAGGGATGGAGAATGGAAGAAATTCACAGGAATGCTAGAAACTTAATAGATTCTTAGCCTTAATTCAATTTTCAGCATAACTCGTAGTCAGTGATGAATGAGTTTTGGTAGAAGATTCTTTCTTAACTTGAGTTTCAGCTTAAGCTTAGCTCACAGTGTTAGAAAAAAAATAGTAGAAATTTAACCAATTTATATTTCAGTTTAAGCTTAGCTTCAATTCATCAATTGTCAGTTTGGCCAACGGAAGCAGTTAGCAGAGAATCCTTAACGATCTTTAGCTCCAACGCGATTTAAGCTTAATTCGTGGGATAGGATAGAAGTAATAGAAACCTAAGAGATTCTGAAGTGAAGTTCCATTATAGTTTCAATTTAGATTTATATTTTCTATTATGAAGTCATATAGTAAGTGCAATCGAAAATTAGTGGAATTAGGAATTAGGGAAGGAAGCAAGTTTCTGTCTACACAGTTCAGTTTGTGAAATCTATTATATTCTTCAATTAATTTCTTAACTAATAATAATTTTAAAAAATATATCTATATATACTCTCATATAAAAGACATAGTTTGACAGCTTTTAAAGATCCTTTTTGATTCTCTAACTCAAATCTCAGTCTACTTGGCTGTCATGGGTTAAACACGTGCCTGGCACCGACCGCCTGACCATACGCACCGTAATAGATTATTTCCGTTGATTTGCTTAGCTCTATAACAACTATGCCCAACTGCGTTCCCAGCGAAATGCCAACATGATCACACGCACTTTTTCGGCCCCCATTAATCAGTACGCACACCAAAAATTTGCCAACCAAATTTGCCTAATGTGTACTTAGGCGAGGAACGCAATGTCAACGTCAATGACAAGCAAATCAAGGAGACAAATCTTCTATAGATTACACTACAAAAGACATGCGTGTAGTTGTAGTAGTATTTGTCCACTTCTGAAATGTATTGCAAATGATAACGAAATTAAGTCAGTCAATTGAAATATCAAAACAATTTGATTAAAGCCAAATCGTATATAAGGCTCTTTATGATATCAGTTAAGCTCTTATATAATCAGCTAAGCACTCACGCACTGAAGTTGATATCAAAGTTCAAATGGCTAAAATTAATTGCCACGCACTTAATTCTTAGTAAAACAATCACATTAATTTATAAAATCAGTTACTAGAATAACGCCCACAATAAATCGTAGTATAAAAATAAGTTCTTATCAGATTTATAGGAGGCAGTACTATCGATCTATTGGGCGAAACCTCTACTGTCCAATCTACATATGTGTTATATCGAAAAGCAAAGGCATCTCCTTTCACCCCTCTGTTTTAGCCAGGAAAATCAAGTCGAATATCACTTTCTTTTGCGATAACTAACAAGCTTACACACGCACACTCAGGCACACACGCAGCCATACACGCACACACATGCACGCACGCACACATACTGAGAAACTTACGCACACAGAGATAAGATAAGCAAGCACACGGAAAGGCAGCGAGACAGCAGCGGTGACAGCGACTGCGACGCCAGCAGAGATCCTCTCAATAGCAGCAATAACAGCAACAACAACAGCGGCCACAACGCTGCTTCTGATTGGTCGACAGCGTCGGCACACACAAAATCCGAACTATCAGCCCGAAGCGCTGCAGCGCATACACTGCAAAAATAGACATGGAATCATTTGCGTGCTCCGTGCTTATCAAAGCAAATTATGAATCATAAATAGAATAAAATGGAGCACTTTAAATTGCGTTAATAAATTTTACAACTTTAATAGCAGAAATTAAATAGTTAGGCATATGGAATTAAGGTGGGCGAATAATCGACTATGTATATATTAAAGGTCTTAGTTATTTTTTATAGATTATAAAATGGGGACAAGTGCTAACCGGAAGAGCAAAATTTTGTTCTTGATAATATTCTTAATTACTATTTTATTTTAGGTTAAATAAAACCAAACGAAATGAGATTTAATTTTTTGTTTAATACAAAAAGAATGCCTGCTTAGAAAAGATAATACTAAATACTCCTAATGTGTAAAAAACTTATTTTGAGCCTAAAAAATATAAACAGTAAAATGTTTGTATTACGTAGTTATGAAAACACAAATAAAATACATTTCTTTCTTTCTAAAATTCAATTTAATAAAAAAAAATGTAAAAATAATTTCAATCATTTGCAAAGTTTTATATAATAAAATTTTTTTTTTATAATTAAAATCTCCATTTTGTATTTTAAAGCAAGCCGCAATTCAAGTTACTTAAATTCTATTTTTGTAAAAAAAAACTTTGCTAAAAAAAGGCACCCAAAGTTCTCAATGTTTTTTAAATACAAGTGGCATTCGTCAAGTTTGCAACAACAACAAGAATTTCTTGCAGTGCAGCGCGCGTTTACGACCATAACAAAGTAGGTATGCCCCGGCACAACCAAATATTTTCTTATTTAAGACTAAAAAACGACTCGTGCAAATCACTTCATACTTGGTTCTTAGAGTGAACACATCGACAGGCAAATAAATTCAAAGAAAATAAATGCAAATTTTCAAAATAAAAAAGCTAAGAGATTTATGCGGTAGTGAAAAGCAAAGAAAAACACAAAAAAAAAAATAAAAAACATTTTTGCGATTAGCTTCAGATAAGCCAGAAGCGAAAAGTGTTAATAAAGAAGCCATCAATACAAACAATGCCTGCAACTATTGTGCAAATTGATGTGTTAGCCTAAAAAGTGTTGTAAAACAGTTTAGAACTTTTGCTGCGTTTCATATAGTTGAAATATAGCCAGAGAAACAAAGAGTAAATCCATATAATGTCCAGTGCTGTGTTGTGCTGTCGGCGTTTGCTGTTGCTGCTGCTGGTCTGCCAGCTGCTGATGATGTCCTGTGATGCGGCACGCATCAATCGCTCAGCCTTCATGGACGGCGATGTGCGCTCTGAGGTGGTCGATCCTAACAATCGCACTATTTGGGGCATGTTCAATCTGACCGAGGAGCAGGTGAATCGCATACGCAGCGGCAGCAACCCGGCTGCCAAGGATGAGGCCACACAGGCAAACAAAAATCATTTGCTAGATCAAATTGCCAGGCAACGGTAAGTAACATTTAAATTTCCAACACCCCCAACCCCGCTGCTAACGGCGTGTGGCCAGCTAGCTATCAATCATTATTTGTCGCCGCACAGAAACAAAAATAAAGAACAAAAAGAAACTTGAAAGCAGCCAAAAATAGAATTCTATAATAGCTACAAATACGAAGAGCAGAATCTAAAAAAATGATTTTTATTTATAAAACAAATTGCAAATTTAGCACAATAAACAATATATGAAATAGTTAGCATTTTTTCAACGAGTGCACTTTGCAATTAAATATTTTCCACTTAACGTATAAACACAAATTCTTAAGAAATGGCCAATTTTCTTAACGGCGAACATTGTTTGGCTCTGCTTCAATTGTCCAAAAACGAAAACACAAACAACAACAAAAACAATTGAAGCAATTCAAGGTTAAAAGCATATGCATTTCACTAATGTGGCCAAGAACCCCCACAACAGTTTATATACTCTGTGGTATATAGATATAGATATAGATATATTATATGGCTTTGCGCCCCAATTCGTTTAACATTTAACACGATTTCCCAAATGCCAAATTAATAAACAATAAACACATGTGTGGAAATTAAAGCTAATACAATATATAATATATAAATATATTTAAGATTTCTTTCTGCACGTGTGGCTCAGTTGCGCGATCTACACATCCCCGTTCTGCTCCTCAACTGTATCTGATCTGATAAGCTGATTGTTTGTCGAAGACTCCAAGCAGACAGCAGGCCTGCTTGATTGACGGCTGTCAACACCTGTCCCAACTAGACCAAACTGTGCTGTCTCCCATAACAACAAAGGCCCTAGGCAGAAGGGGGACAGAAGGTGCACTCTGTACATCATATCTATAGCTTTAGCTTCGGCTGCATTTGTATCTGTTGCCGTTTATCATTGTATTTGCGCCTGTCTATCAGATACTACTTACAACCGGCGGGCACCGCTGCACAAAACAGAAAGACACACACACAGACAGAGGCACATACACACATACACATGCACATACACTGAGACGAACTGGCTGCAATTGCAACGAATTCCGTCGCCTGGCCTCTGCGTATTTGTATACGTCCATGCGGCCAGCTGTCTGGCAAATGTCTGGGAACAGTCTGGGCCATGTCTAGCTGGCTCCGTTAATGAACTTTTTGTAGGTCGTTGCTATGCGAGACACATGCAGCCCATGGGTAGACAAGCATACGTACAAACATATACACAGATATATATTTTTATATATATTTAAATATAATATGATATTATTGTTGCCCCGCTTAATAAACAAACCTAATAAAGCATCTGATTAATGCTCAGCTACACAGATACAGTTATATGATTTATAGGGCATTTGAAGTATGTCAGGAAATATGAAATTCACCGCTAGCCCATAAGGTATTTCATAAATGTACCCGATCTACATCAACAATCAATCTAAATGAGCAATTGTTTCCGAAAAACTCTTCTGCAGCTGTTGTCCCATTCTAAAGCGAACTGCGTGAAACTTGTGCCAGCTGCCGACTTTGCAGTGTATATAGACGGCTCGCATAACAATATCAAAGAGTTGTGGATGAAACGAAGGTCTTCTATTGAAAATCTCTTTAAAAAGAACTTGAAGCTTAGAGGATATAACGGGATCACATAACTATTTCGTAGAGAAAGACAAACGTTTTCTTTACCTTCCCTCACAATTCTAAAGTTTTTCACAAGCCTGTAGGTCGCTTATTACTTTACCAGTATATCTCTGCTACTCTACAATATGTGCTCTAAGGGTATTTCAACTTCGTTATGCCATGACATAACTCTCTTTTTCTTTTTCTTCTTTTATTGCTTTGGCTGACTGGCTGGCTGCGCGCAGACACAAAACGCTCGCCAGTAATAATTATGACGTATGAGTAATATCGAGACATGGTCATATGTTTGCCCAGACTTGACTACTCAAAGCTGATACTCAGACTTATAGACTTGGGTTCCTACCCCAAGCCCGCCTACCAACTCAGCGCCCTCTGTTGCCCAGCAGTGCAAACAGTTGTAGGCGTATGTTTTGTGGCCACTAAGCGACGCGGTCTACGGTCTGCCAGTCACTGTCTGAGTTTTCTGACTGACTGACTGACTGACGCGCATGCCGGACAACAGACGACAGACGACGGACTGCGACTACGACTACTGTTCGTCGACGCATGATAATGAAGTGCAGCCGGCGAGACACTGTCTAGCCGCGCATTGTATATGCGCACACACAGGCTGGAGCTGACGCTGAAGCTGCGGCACAGACTGGCTGTGGCTGTGGCTATGGCTGTGGCAGTGGCAGTCAGCCAGACGAGATGACTGGTAGGCAAGACGAAGGATGGCGCACAGACGGAGCAAGCAAGAGCAAAAACACAGAAAAAAAAAAAACAAAAAAAACTGGAAGCTGCAACAAACCAACCACAAAGACAGGGCAGACGTCGAGGTGGGGCTGAGCGAAGGGGGGGCGCTTGAATTTCATCAAAAGATGCACTTGGAATGCACGCAAAGAGCAACAGCTTAAGTAATACTTAAGTTTGCCAACTTGAAATGGCTACCAAATGGAGGCCAGAGATTCACCTGTGTGCCACGACTGAAAACTCCTCGGCGCATGCTCAATGGGAGCCAACTGCTCGCAGCTGCGTGATTCACGCCAATATATGCATGTTGAGGCTCCTGGCAAGGCAGCGACTGCTCCTAGCCTAGCCAATAAAAAGCCACAACCTCATACAAGGCGTCTAGACAGGCCCCAGACAGACAGCAGCAGCAGCAGCAGCAGAAATGCTCGCACTGAACATCGAACGCTGAGCAGCTACAGCCGCAAGTTAAACAACAACAACAACAACAACAACAACAGCAACAACAAGTTTTCAAGTTCATGCCACAGCAGTTAGCAGACAGTCAAAACGTAACTCCTCAGCGGGCCATTTTGTCTGGCAGGCATTCTTTGGCCCGATCGCACGTTGTATAAGCATAAGCATAAACATATAAAGATATATATATATATATTCACAGACAGCCACACACACACACATATCTTAGACATTCATATATAAGTGCGATAATAAGCCAACGGCGTCTGTGGCCTCTCTTGGCTTGGCTACGACTTTGGCTTTGGCTTGGTTCACTTTCAGTGCATGTTCCCATAATTATTTTGGCTAGACAAAATGCGCCGCAGGCAACAATCAGCTCGAGAGCAACAACAACAACAACGCAGAGCAGCCAAATTATATTTATAATATTTTACAGTCTAATTTATTGACCGCATGACCAACAGTTTTGTTTTGGATTCAGTTTTGATTTTGCCTTTTTTTTCGGCTGCCCCTTTCAACATTAATTTTGAGTAGTTGTTGTCTTTCTGCGCAAAATTTTTATGCGCAACTTTTGCAAAGCGCGTCTCAATTACCGATCCAGACAGACGACACACACACGGCCACAATTGTCCCATTGTGGAGCTGGATTAGATCATAGCTACAGTTGGATACGCGCCAACTATTGTTGCTACTCTTGCCCTCACTCTTACGCCCTCTCTCTTTTACTTTCTGTCTGTCTGCCGTTCAGAAAGCATTAGCTTTTTAAGCGACAACAGCTCTGAACTTCATCTTCCTTCACTGCTGTCTGTTATTTATTGGATACATTTGTATCTACTACGACAAAATACTATCTCAAGCCAGTGAGTTGTAGTGAGACTTTAGCACTGTAGCCGAACAAGACAGAGCGACAAACTTAACTTAAACTAGCTGTATATAAGGAAAAAGCTATTCCTAGATCTATGCATAAATTTAGTAACTGAAAAACATTCTCTGCAAATTGCTTAAGTAACTTAGTTTCCACGTGAGGAACTTTTGATTTCCTATGCCTATTATCAATTTCCAAGAAATAGTTAGTTATAGTTTAGAGTAATCTCAGCGTCTTTCACTGCTCAAGACACACACACACACACGCAGCCACACACGAGCTTCTATTGCTTTGAGTTCGGAACGCGTAAAACACACAACCCAATTTCCACAACAAAAATAAACCAAAAAGAATTAGCTTATAAAGAACTAGACGTTCACGTTGATCCGTCTCTGTCTGAATAAATTGAATCAATGCGCTATAAAGCAGCGCTAAATGGCACGTTTTCATTTATGAACCGAGAGCTTCGGCTAACTAGTTACTGTTGCTGCTGTTGTTGTTGTGCGCCAGTTACGACAACGCTCAAATGTCAATTAAGTGGACTTTACATAAACACTTGAGCCAAATTAGTTAGATAGTTTGCCATCCAGAGTCAGAGCATCATTGATTAAACAAAACGAGATGTCTTTTCCAAATTGCAGGATTAACGAGATACGCTCACGCATCCGCATAGCGGTAACCAAGTCGGATGTCAATGATAGCCAGGCGGAGCAGGCTGTGCAAAATCAGCCATCGCACGAGAAGGCCGGCTATCCTATATGCAACAGCGAGACGACGCCCAGCAACTGGCAGCAGTCGACCAATGTGACGCTGGAATTCGCTAGCAGCGTCTTTCAGCAATACGGCAATAATAATTTAATACTCGATAGCGCAATCTTGCGTCTATACAAAATAAATCCGGCAGATAAAACAGCAGCAGCGGCAGCAGCAACAACAAGCAGCAGCAACGTGGAGCCAACAGCTGAGGCCACGCCGCTGTGTCGCGAACCCTATCTCGAGTCGCAGATACGCGTCACCGTCTACATTGTGCACCAGCAGAAGAAGAAACGTAAGTTAGGTGCGTACCTGAACTCCCCAAGCGTAATGAGCCTTTAGCCCAAACCTAACCTCGTATCTTCAATCAATCTTCTCTCAAACTCTCACAGAGCGCAAGAAGCGCACCTGCAACACCATCATGCTGAGCAGCACCAAGACCGGCTGGGTGGACATCGATGTCAAGTGCGCGCTCACCTACTGGGCACAACAGCAGCAGCAACAACAACAGCCACAGTCGTCACAACAGCAACTCCACTCACATCTACCCATCGAGGTGGGCCTGCTGATGATTGAAGTGCACGACGATGAGGAGAATCAACTGCTGCCAGGCCTCTACTTTCAGCCACCCACTTGCGTTCAGGCAGGTAAGCGTGTTGTTAGCCAAGCTTTAACTAACTGCCCAAAGACATGTGTGGAACATCAAAGAAGAAGAGGTCGCCCGTCTCATTTCTCCAGCCCCCGATAAACAATATACCAATATCCAATTTTTCAACTTCCGGCCAGGCCCCCAAATATGTGACATAATCAGGCGCATTTATTTACATTTCAAAAAGTTCAATAATTTAGCAGACTTTCAGTTTATTACTCTTACTTCCCCACTCTCTCCTCGGTTACTCTTTTCAACGGCCAGACAGCGGACTGAATAAATATATATAAAGTGTATATTTCGCAACATATTGCTGAGAAATCGAAAGCGTAAAAAACCCGTCCCAAAAGTTCGTCGTCACAATTTTGTCCAGCTCAGCAAACGGCGAGACTTGAGAAAAACTGCGATTGCAAAAAATTCAAAAAAAAAATAAAAAAAATGCTAAATAATTCAATACTTATCCATATACCTAATGAAAAATTTGTATATGTCTATTGAAATATTTAAATAAATGTAAAGCACGTTTTCTCTGTGCAATCGTTTCGCCGATGTAAATTGCTTTCTTTATAACTTTTGGTTTCGTTGCGGCACTTATGAAATGCGCAGTTCGTTCGTTGCCCCGTTGAGAAGTAAATAAATATAAATTTCACAAACGGAAACAATCAAATGCCAAAATATTCATAGTATTCAGTAGTATTCGTGTCGCCAGTTATGGTTGGTAAGATATTCATATACACACACACACACACGCGCGCACAAGCATATAAGTATATGCAGTTAAGTTTGGTCGCTCGCTAGCTTGCTACTAATTCAAATTGCTCATACGCACCTTTGTGCGTAGGCTTACTGCTGCCGCTGCTGCTATTTATGCAGCATCCGCCTTATGTTTCATTATTCTTTGCTCTTGCTGTTGCTATTCTTGTTGATATTTTTGCCATGAGAACTAGCTAAGCGTTAGTCGTCGCCGCCTTGCATGATTGTTCAATATTTTCGCCTGTGTATTTGATTTGATTTTTTTTTATTTTGTTCTTGTTTTGTTGTTCTGTTGAATATTGCATGCAATTTTAAGTATTTAGCATTTTTTGACCGTTGATTTCAAATGTATTTTACAGATATTGCAGTCCCGTGGTCCGTCTACGGACCAGCGACGCCTATGCCTAATATGGAAAACAACACGTTGTCACGGTAAGCATCAATTCAAATGTTTTAAAACTTTAGAAAATTTTCAAAATTTATGAAAGTTTGCTTTAGATACATTAAGACGCGCACAAATAAATTCTTTTATAATTATATTTTTTGTAACCTCTAAAAGTAGGCAATAGTTTTTGCACACAACTTATGAATGCCTGCGAAAAAGTATTGCCTACTTTTGAGCTGAGCGGAAAATTATTAACAATTTGAAGCAGTTAATAAAGGCAACATAAATCTAATAAACAATATTAATTATAATACTTAAAAGTAATAAATGTAAACAAAAATAGTTTAAGTATTGCATTAATATATTAAAAAACTAATACGCCTCATATTTGACAACTATCTGTATATGGCCAGTCTAAAAACTAATTCTACTCTCCCTCCCACAGATGCCCAAGGCTAGACGTTCGATTCTTGGGCACCGGACTGCTGACGGATAAGAGCTTTGCAAATCGAACCAATGGCAAGCTGGAAAACCTCAAGAACCAGGTGCTTAATCCATCACGCAGTCGAGAACACTTCAACGCCGAAGTGACCACATTAAATTCACCGACAATTGACAACAATTTGGAAAACAGCGAGAACGAAAACGAGGGCAGAGAAAAAATACATCATCATCGCAGACGACATCATCACCAGAACGTCGAGTGTGCATCTATGGATGCCGATGAATCGTTTCAGCAGTCAGAGACACAGCATCAGTTGCGAGCGCATCATAACCACCATCATCATCATCATCATCAGAACCACAATCATCATCACCATCATCATCAGCACAAGCATCGTCATGTTGTGGAGGATGAGGAGTAGATTAGATTTATATATGAAGCTCGTTTTGGCCAGGCCACACATACGCACACATACTCACATACATACATACACACACACACACCAACACACACACTCAATTACCAATACAATTGCACATGCATTCACCGATTCATGTCCTACATGCTGGTCTTTAATAGTTTATTGTTTTTTTTTTTTGTATCTTTAGGGCCAGTTGACTTAATTAGTTTTTAGTTCAGGTCATGCATTACACTTTTTTATTTTTTAATTATTAATTTATGTTAAAAAAAAAACAAAAACAAAAAGAAATCATGTTATCTTTTAAGTTACAATATTTTTGACAAATTACTCGAAATTTGTATTTGATTTGAGAGTATATTTTGTATATTTATATTTGTAAATCTCTCTTATATTAGGAGTCTGTGATTTAGATGTGGTTGAATTTTGCGCATTTTTTGCTTCAATTATCATAGAATTGTTGGAACCTCAAAACTAATTTCGATACGAATATATAAAAATAAAATAAAAAATATATATAAAAGTATCTATAAACCATATATTAATCAAGCATTTAAAACTTGCTAGCAAATAGTTGAACTAAAATTATATATAAAGTATGTATATATATATATACATATATACATATATCTATGAGTTTATGCAATGCGATTACCGTAGGTTAAACAAGAACCCCCAAGAGTATTTATACGCACCTACATAGTTTATATATATACACACACATAAGCACACTCACACACACATGCAGAAACACGTTTTGTTATTAAAGTCACCAGCTTAAACAGTGCCTTCCCTTTTAGTATAGCCGCAAAACGTGCAAGTCCAAATCTCCGAAATTTTTGTATATAGCTTATATTATTATTCGAAAAAAAAGGACAGCAAAAAATTCTGTATTTGTATAATTCGCTCATGATGTTTTTTAAAATATATTTTACTTAATTAAACTTAATATTATATTGTAAACCAAGCTGCAAGAAACGTATCTAAGTTAAAAAAAAACAACAAAAATCTGCTTGGCATATGAAATACAATAACAATTATATTAAATACACACACACACACATACATTATAATAAAAGCAAAATATTGCAAGATCAATTGACAACCAATGCCCAACGCTTATTATCTATAAAACCTTTCAGATAATTGTTTGAGCAATACTTGTGTTAAGTGTCTCGATAAGATGTCGTGAAATCACATTATCTTTGATAATACCCCACTCGAATCCAAGTATATTCATATACAACTATATAAATATAAATTATCATCTTCGATTGTGCGACGCCTATCAACCAGAGCAAAGCGGTGACAGATATCCCCTATAGATTAGCATATCATATAATAAAATATGATTACGCGCTATATTTATTCACGCATATTTAATATGCATAAGCTAAAGCCATAGCTCACTTTATTGCTCTCTCCCTCTCACTCTCTCTCTCTCCTGCTCTCGCTCTCTCTCTCTCTCTCGCTCTCTCTCCCTCTGTGAGTTACTCTAACAATAACAATGTTATTTTGTAGAGTTGTTGACATCTTGGGACTATCTCGTGATAATACCAGCATTGCCACTCGGCGGATGATAAGCCGAACAAGTTAGAATTAACGTGAAAGTGTCGCATAGATACGACTTGACTAGGAGATACTCTAATAAGCGGTGATATCCAAATTCATTACAGAAATCATAGTAAATTTGAAATCTGCAATATTTACGATATTCAAGCTACGCTTTAAAAACCAAATCAAATTATCGATTTTTATCGATAATCAGGAACTGGGATGAATAATCGAAAAGAAAGACTTACACTGCGTATAGTATACACGAGTACCCATTTCCAATTTGTAGTCTCCAGCTTTTGTGGTTTATAGTCATGGCGTCCTGATCAAGAATATATATACTTTATGTCTCGCAGACAGAAGTTATGAGACGAGCTCCAATTCTTTGACCAGCAGTCGACTAGAAGTAAATATTAACTAGTTTTCAACATTTAACAAACTAATCTCGTTGTTATTGTTAATTAGAGAAATCCACACATTTACGAATTGTTAACCAATATACCCGATAACAGCCCGCAGGTGTTTTACTCACATATATTAAACGACTTTCGGGCTGGTACTGGTTTTAGTCTTGACGCGGCATTTGAACAGTTAATATGAATTCAGTAGGCTCTCGGCACGACTGATGTTTCGCCAACTGATTTAGCCGTCAATTTGTATGCATATGTCAGTGTACATACATACAAATACAGTTATATATATAGTTAAAATTTAGCTCGAGCTAACTACCAGTGAAAAGCAACAGGCGCATAACAAGGCCAAGGTTTATTTATATAATTTACGCGAAACGCGTTTGCCGCTCCGCAAAAAAATAACATCAACAAAAAAATCAGATAATAATAAAAAGGTGATTTACCTCAATCAAGAAATTAATTATACATAAAATACTTTCATGACTACAAAGACTGTTCAAAGATATGTAAACACACGTGTCGACCAGCTGTTACTACTCCCTTTTTAACACATTATTCTACCCTGAAATGGGAATGCTGAAGTGAAGTTCGTCTGTGAAGTGATGAGGGGAGGTTGGTTCGAGTCCTGGTGTCTTTAATTCAACTCGTTTTCTATTTTTGGACCAACAGTGGCCAAAATAGTCATAAGCTATGGAATATGCATATCGTATATACAAATCGTAAATCGAACATGCTTCAACGCACCTCCTAGTCAGGCACTCCCGACTAGCGCTTTGTTATTGTTGTAGCGGCAAGTTTTAAGTGCATATGAAATATGACCTATTCGAATGAGTTATGGGTAGCGCATTTGACACAAACTTGAAGGGTTAATTAACTTCTGAACTTATGCATTGCAATTTCAATTTGAGTTTATAATCAGAGACGTTTAATTTTATAGCTAGCGAAATTCATCCGAAATCTGATTACACTATCGACAGCTGGACTCTAACGGTTGTTTTTAATACCCTGCACGTATTGCAAGTGGTTATGCAGGGTATAATAGTTTGATGAAAAAGCATATAACAGACGGACGGCGAAGGATATATATATTTCTGACTCAGTAGAGCTAGTCTTTAGATCCAGTTTCGTTTTTTAGGAATGTATGGAACTCCCATAAGCGACTTGCACGCGAGGATCAAATTAGTTTCAAATGATCGATAAGTTTTTCCATCTCAATGTAATTCATTATCGAACTTCAGTTATTGCGTCTCGTATGGCCTCACAGCTAGAGACTCCAAATTTTTACTAACTTATGGTAATTATGGAGTATGTAGATCATATGCTGAAATTTTCATTGAAATCCCTAAAGTAAATCAAAAGTGTTGTCAAGCCAATGTAATGAATCTATTTTAAAGTGCTTAAAAACAATTGATATTGCGATTTAATCGTGTGCGAATGGCCAGTCGCTGGTTTAATTTCGAGGTTTCCACTCAGCACGCAAGCAATTTGATGGCGACGATGGTAATAGGAGATATGTGTAGCCGAGGCGTCGAAGGTTCTTTTTTCGTACTCTCAACTCATTGAAATGGCAAATATAAAAATATGTAACTGGCAGGAGGCGTTTCGTTATCTCGTTATCGATTAGAAATGAACAAAATGCAGTTAGTAAATTGTATCTCGTATGGCTTACAATCTAGGGTATGCATATTTTGTATTTAGTTTTATATATATTTTATAGAATTACGATTTTTGTTGAGTGCATTTCTATCTATTCGAAGAATCGCAACTGCAAGTGAAATGCGTTCGATTCAGTCAGCTGCTACCTTATTTTACGTTTGCCACAAAACAGGAAAGCAGTGAAGTTTCGGTATTGGTAGAGGCGGTACGTGTCGCCGGTCCCTATTTTATTTATTTTAAAAACTTGGCATAGATTCAAGCAATGCTGAATATTTGAAAACCCACATGGGGTGGACTTTCAGAGTATCTTGTAGTCGGGCACCTCCGACAAGAGCTCAACTTACTTTTATGTACGATTCTGAAAGTTTATGTTCGTTGATACTGATTAATAACAATGTTCTTAGCCAATTTATGGTATCAATTGCTGATTTAATTCTGATTTGCGATACGTCAAAAAAAAAGGAAACATTTACGGCCTTTACCTTAGGGTAGAAGTCAGAAAACCCAACGAGTTTGACAGTTACTTGACCAATCACTTTAAAAATTGCGATCCACGTGCTGTCTGGGTTTATGGCGACCCCCCGTTATCGGCAATATAAATGTGGTGGTAAATTCACTGGACTTGGCTTAAATGATACTAATCGTAATTTCCTACTTCGATAGCTGATTAGGAGTATATGTTGCTCTAAGTACTGTGGCACGCTCTTCAAAATTAATGTTATCAATATATGTTATATAATCTTAGATGAGCGATAAAAATTCAATGGCGGCCACCAACAATGCGTATGAAGTAGATCATGTATGTATATAATTCGCAGAGTTGCAATGACTGTAAGACTCACCTCCATATTTCCCTTGTAGACTGACCGAGCTATAGCAAATCCAGAATTTAATAAGGTAAGCCGAAATGGTGCAATAGCTTCTGGATAAGTTTATCTGTCTCACGCACCTATTTTCAGACTGATTATCAACTTGATTATACCCATGATCACGAACACAATGCTAACAGCAACGAAGTGCAAGAGAACAAAAAAATTAAAATTTGGATTAAAAGAGGACTTCATTTGATACTACAAATTGCCATCGTCGGCTATTTCGCATATGCCACGTATCATTATCACGATCTGAGTAAGTAGAAAACATGAATAGAAGGAAAGACCTTAAGATAAAGTGAAGCATCTGAACCTGGCAATATCTGCAAAAACTCTTATACTATCACTAACTATACAAGCCATAGATGCGACGCGAACAAATAGGAATGCGGAAATTATTTGTGCCGAAAAAGTTCGTTCTAGATGTCTTATCTATGTGCTGTATGGTTCGTGATATATACAGAAATACATAATCATACATAAGTGTCTATATACCTATATATGTATAACGATTCTAATCATTATATTTCGATTAAGTCGAAAACTCGAATGGAATAAATGAAAGTCATCGCATGGCGCACAAAGTATGTTAACTTAATTTTTCTAGCCCTAACTTGACTTATATTCATTAGGACTAAGTGAAATACCTGAGCTAAAAGATTAGTAGCGATATCTGCGTATATACTAACACAATACATAGACGGGACCTACGCAAAAACGAATACAGAAATATTTTCTGTTTCTGTTCGTTCTAGAAATCCCATACATATTCACATAACATATATATAAACATATATATATATATAATATATATTTTTGCAGATACGTATGCTTGCAATTACGATGGCACACTGCCGTTATGTGGCATACGCTTTTGCACCGGCTATGGCATGCTCTTATTATTATTGGGCTTCATATACTTGGCCCTGTTTTACTACCTGATATTCAAGCCGAAGCTTGGATTGTTTTTGCATAAGAACTACTTGCAGCCAGCAGCTGTCAAATGGCACGATTTTCTCAGAACACGGTGAGCTGTCTTTAACTAAATATTTGATATTTGATACTTGATATTTGATATTTGATATCTGATATCAGTTTTATATGTACCATATCTTTATATCTTTCGCCCCATACAGCGTCGTTTCCATAGCGTGCATTGCAATATTGCTCCTACTGCTAGCCATATATTTGGTGTTTGAGACAAAAGACAATCCTCAGAAGCTGGTCTCCTTAGTGGCGCCCTGTTTCTTCATACTCTGCGGCTATGTCTTCTCCACGAAACGCAGCGCCATCAAATGGCGCATTGTAATTACCGGAATCACCTGTCAGTTTCTGTTGGGCATCATTTGCATACGCTGGGAGGTGGGCCGGCAAATCTTTGAGTGCTTGGGCAATAAGGTGTCAACCTTTTTGGACTATGCTAAAGATGGTGCCCGATTCGTGTTTGGCGACTTTCTCGTCGAAGCCGATGTGTTCGCCTTTGCCATATTGCCAGTGATATTCTTCTTCAGCTTCTTCATTTCGGTGCTGTACTATTTGGGAGCTATGCAGTGGATAGTGATCAAGCTGGGCTGGATACTCCAGCAAATAATGGGCACAACTGTGTGCGAAAGCGTGACAGCTGCTGCCAACATCTTTCTGGGCATGTCCGAGAGTCCGCTCTTGATTAGGCCCTACATCAGTAAGCTGACCGAAAGCGAAATCCACACCATTATGGTGTCCGGCTTTGCCACCGTCTCCGGCACCGTGCTGGCTGCATATTTATCCTTTGGCGCATCTGCGGCACATTTGATCACATCCTCTGTAATGGCAGCGCCAGCCGCGTTGGCCATCTCCAAGCTGTACATGCCCGAAACGGAAGAGAGCCAAACGTCTAGCGATACCATTCAGCTAGAGAAATCGTAAGTTTGTTATAAATATTTAGGATCTACTGTCAACTTATTCTTCTTCTTATATAGCGAGAGTGCCTCCCTGCTGGATGCCGCTTCCAGTGGCGCCTCCAATGCCGTGCCCATTATCCTGGGCATCATTGCCAATATTGTGGCCTTTGTCGCGTTTATTGCCTTCCTGAACGGTCTGGTCAGCTGGCTGGGCTTTCTTGTTGGGCACGAAGAGGTGGACTTTGAATGGATTTTCTCCAAGATCTTCATACCGCTGGCCTGGGCCATGGGCGTTCCCAAGGACGATTGTGATAATATAGCCAAAGTGGTGGCCACCAAGACCATTATCAATGAATTTGTCGCCTACGAGCGTTTGGGCGCACTAATCAGGGCCAACGAAATTTCAGTGAGTGCATATAGTATGCATATTAGTTAGGGTCCAATAACGAGATCTCTTTCTTGTTACAGAGTCGCAGCGCAGGCATTGCTACCTTTGCCATCTGTGGCTTTGCTAATCCCAGCTCTCTGGGCATTCTCGTTGGCTCCTTGAGTGCAATGGCACCAAATCGTCGTGGCACAATCGCAGCGGTAGCTATACGTGCCTTTATTGTGGGCAGCATTGTCTGCTTCATATCAGCCAGTTTTGCAGGTGAGAGCGCAGTAAATGTTAATCTACTTAAAGCTGGTTTTAATGCTGTTTCGCTGCTTTACAGGCATCGTCATACCGGATGAGGATGAGAATACAGTTTACAATAAAGTGATGGCGAAATTGGGACAACAAAACGTGACAACGGTCTAGCATTAGTTAATACATATATATTTATAAATTCATTCAACTAGCATTTGTTACATTGCCTAACTCAATTTTGTTAATATTTTCACCTGAATAGCTTCAATTTGAAATGAAAGACATTAATTAATTATTGTATATGTTAAATGGATTTTAATTTACGAATGCAAATTCAATTTGCGAAACGAATATACCCTGAACCCATTGAAAATGGGAATACTACCAAGAAGTCAAGTCTAACTGAAAGGGATTTCCATTTGAAGTCAATCAAGTGAGCTATCGGACATAACTAACTAGGCATTAAATGAATATCCAGACATATTCATAAGATGAGATCATTGAATTTGACGTTTCAACAAAATATTTTGTAAATTTTTAAAAATACTACTTAACTGCTGTAGGTCGGTAGCATCTAATTCAGCGGAGCAGACGCTTAACTGCTCTGCATTCTGCTCAAGCTGTCCCAGAATATACTTTGGCTCATACTCGGCACGTTTGCGCTTCAGACTTGCCTGTTTGCAACGATGCGTTTGGTTACTTTGATATGCGAGCTTAGCGTAGCTAATTTGCAGATTGGATGTGTTGACTTTAGGAAGAGGAAGCGTTGGCTGTAGGGTCTCTAAAAGTGCACGCACCTCTGTGTCAGGTGCATACTGTTCTGCTAGAGACTTAAGCTGCGCGTTTTCGCTGCTCCTGCACTCATGCAGAAATCTTTGCACGTGCCAACATGTATTGGCAGCAGATTTTGGCGGCATTGCAGCTTGTAAGATGCGCAGTTTTGTAGCTGAGCTAGCTTTAAGGGCCAGCTTAAAGTAGGTATTATTCAAGCGTTGATAGGTGCCCTTAAGTAATAGGTCCTTGATGCTAGGTGGCAATTTCAGCAGCCAATCTGACGATGAGACCGAAAGCAGCTCCATTAGTGCCAACTGTAAATAAAAGTTATTAATTTATAATCATTTCGTTTACGGTAAGTCACTCACAATTTCATAATACTGTTCAATATCGTTTGGTGGACTGTGAAGTAAACGTTGCAATTGCAACAGCCACAGATGCTGTTCTTGCTCTGTTTTGGTGGATACACAGTTTATATAACGATAGTTATGTAAATTGAATACAGGTGGATCATGATTTTTGTTTAAATTATGAAAATACTTTAGCATACGCTGTACATGCAATTGACTTAGATTTTGCGAGAACATGGCATATGAATTATTGCACTTAATCCAATATTTTGTAATTTTTGTTAGAGCGTTTTTACTCCAGCCCGGTTGTAGCTCTTCCAGGCTGCAAATATAAGTTAAGCTTATAAAAACATCAAAATTATATAGGTATATAGCTGCCTAACCGATAGCTCAGCATCAGCACATCTGCGCAGATTTGAGACCTTATGATATCCTCTTCAAACAATCCAGCGCAAAAGTAATTGAAAAGTTGTGCAGAGCAGGCTACATGGAGTAGACTACCAAAGGTTTCCAGAATACGTTTATAACGCGCAGCATTACAAAAATTGCCAGCATCTAGAATTAAAAATGAATTGATCTGAAAACTATTAAAATTTAAACTAATTCTCTTACCTCTGCACAAATATTCAAAAATCTTTAGTAAAGTCTGATAAGTAAGCTGATTAAGCTCCGCATGATCTATAATGCAAACATTTACATAATCCAAGCAAAGCTCATCATAATTCTCATTGGATTGTGCCGGCTCAGTTAGACAAGTAATTAGATGCTAAAAATTAACACCAATTAATAAAATAATCTAGTTAAGGCAAAGTTTATAGCTTGCCTTTTGAAAATCTTCAAGCTGATAGAGAAGCTCATGAATTTGCATAACATATGGATGCATGTATTTGGCAATAAGCAAGGCAATTTCAGAGTCTGTATCAAGGTTTGGTTTACTGTAAGAAATGAAAGTTAACCTCAGGTTTATGTTGAATAATCTTATATATAACTTACCTTTCACCTCCACTTAAAAGCAACATAAGGGCTTCCAAAACACTTTTATCCATATGCTTAACTCTAGTGTTTAATAATTTGTGTAACATTATTAAATAAACTTGAGCAACTTTCATGTGTTCTTCAGTACCTGTTGAGTGCTGTATAATAGAATATAGATTAATATAGTTGTGCTATATAGATTTATAGATGATGCTTACCTGTTCATAAACTGTTTCTAGTTCATTGAGCACTGTGTCACAGAGATGCAGCACCGTCTCCTGCAGCCAATCAGGCATGGCTTTATCTTCATTCTGGCTGGACTCGAGGCAGTTGTAGTGTGTGCATATGTTCGTCATTGTTTTACTGGTTTTTACAAACGCATTCAGATGTGTTAACTTAAGACTAAGAAAGTCTGCAATCTCGACCATCTGTCGGAGTACTATGAAAGTGTATAATATTTTATTATTCATATCAAAATATATATACTAGAGTGTACATACGTGGTGTAATGCGAGCATGAACTCGAGTGGAAGAGTTTGTAATCTCTTGCAGCATATTTAATACATTTAAATGCAGCTCTATAGCCTTTGATTCATGCTCTTTAAGCGCATCGACATGGCTCTCATTACTGCAAATTATAGTTATATACATATACAGTTTTAAACATATACACATAGTATTCATATTGTCAAACCTCATTTGCAGGCAGCTATAGACGATTGCCAGAAGAAAAAATGCTGTTGTATGCACCAGACGCTCGCCAGTTGTCAGTAGCTTAACCTTTGCCCACTCAGCAAAATCCAAAGCATCAGTTAATAGCATAATAAAATCAGAGCAGGCAGCCTTATTCTCAGGTGTCACTTCGCCCTTCTATAAACAGGCAAACAGGATTAGCTGCAGTTCATCCAACTATCACACATCACTTACCAAACGCAGCAGCCACTCATACAAAGACTTAAAAGCCTCTATGCAGCATTCAGCCTCATTTATATAGCCTCTGAGAAGTTTTCTTAACCATAAACTTAATACTTCCACAGTTTTAGCACTCAGATTCTCGACACTTTTCTGGCAAATTTTCAATGCAGATTTTATTGACACGCACGTAGAAATGTCGTTGCTATCAAAACATTGCAGCTCATCAAATGTTATGCTGACTTGCACTTCTGCTTCTTGTTCCATATCTACAGTATTTTGCATTTTTAATATTAATTTTTATTAATAAAAATTCACACAATATAAATAATTTCACAAATGGGCGCGAATGTCATGTGAATCGATTGGTGACATTTATCAACTGAGTGTCATCGATAATTTCGCTAAATGCGTTAACAGCTGTAAGATCAATTTAGCGTTACGTGATGTTGGTTGCTAATGTTAAAAATATATCGACGAGCCGCCACTAAGTGCTCGACACATTTGGTGTTGCTACCTACGGTCACACAGCTACAACCATTTCTTTTCCTCAGCACAGCCGCTTGAATAAAGTTGTCTTTTCAACTCTGCTCGAATTAAAGCATTTTAAATGGTAAGTAAATTTATTGCTTTTGTTTAACAAAGCACGTGCCTTTTTTTAATATGATGTTTATATATACCGCCCCAGTCTGAAAAGACGTGTTGATTGGTTTTCAATGCTGATAAAAATTATGCACGTGCTTTGTGCCCGCTTAATTTTAAATATCAATGAATTAACTTAATGCATTATCTTTATTTATTATAGATCGTGTGCAAGGGAAATAACGTAGCACTGGCTGCTGCTTGGAAAAATAAAACAAAAAATTTCTCAAATTTTACTGAATTGCTATGAACAACCTATCGCACGTGTTGCTGCGATAAGTTAGGTTAGTTCCTCCGGGTATCTCTGCTTATAAATATTTCTAAATGATGAATAATTATACCGCCCCAGTCGGAATTATAATGAAGATTGGATTTTGTTACTGATATAACTATAGAAATATGTATTTTTTATATGTTCGTAACTGTACTAATAATATCTATGTATATTTTCAGAATGCAGTATCCACGTGTTGAATACTTGGATGGTTTCCTATATTGCTCATTATGGTAAGTTACGATCTTTTGAGAAATATAGTTTTCATAAACTCTGTGATGAACACCTTATTTTAACAGTTATCCCTGTCATAAAAAAATTGATGATACGTTAAGCTGATATAAATTATAGAAAAATTTTGATTTTAGTTATTTTCAAGTTAATGTAACTAATAGAATTTGTTGTATTATTTTAGATTTTGAGCTGGCGCACAGACTGATCCTAATCTAGAGTATCTTCTAAGATGTATCATTCATAGGTAAGTTTATTTCTTGATCATAAGTTATAGATTTGCTTTTTAAAAGAATAGATTTATAGGGTAGCCAGAAAAATGTTTGTTAATTTAAATATATATATTTATATTTTTTGTTGTTTTTTAACATGATGTTCTATATACCGCCCCAGTCGGAAAGATAATGTCGACTCGGTTTATACTGATATATTAATAGAACTTTAATCTTATCTATGCCTAACAAACAAGTACTAATTACTGATTCTCTATTGCAGGCTGGACTATGCTATAGATCAGCAAGAAGAATAATAATCGACTCAAGGTAGGTTTTGGTTTAATTATAGATATGTGTAATCTTAACTGATGATATAGATGTAGACAAGCATATAACTGAATTATTTATGTTGCTATACACACTCGACTGAACTTATCGAAATATATATTCTTATATACTTTATTCTTATTTTTACTAAAATATATATATATATAATCTTTTACAGGTCAAACTGAACGAAGAGAATAAATTTCAATTGCAGCAATGCAGCATAAAGGCTTCATAGAGGTTAGTTGTTTATCTCCATTCTCTATTTGAATATAGATTTGAATTTTCTATGATGAACACCTTATTTAAGCCAAACAGTTATCCCTGTCATAAGAATAATTGATGATAAAATAAGCTGATTAAAATATAAAAACAAATTTGCTATCAATAGAGACTACAAAATATATATTAACCAGAATTTATTTCATTTTGCAGTTTCCTTAATCTACGATAAGACGATTCCTGAGTCTGAATAAACAATTAATTCAAAAGGTAATTTTAAAAAATGTTTGTTTAAATTTAAGTCATGTTTTTTGGTTTTGATGATGTTTTTCATACCGCCCCAGTCGGAGTTAATAATGTCGATTGGTTTTTCTTCACTGATAAATACAAAAACATGAATTAAATCTTGTTTGTTTTTGAATTGAATTTAAGCAATTTTGTACTAATGATTTTCTTTTTTGTAGTGAACGTCCGTCTTCAAGCTGGAATTTTGGAATGTTACTAAACCTTCTCTAATATACCAAATAAGTAAGTTAGTTGCTCATATATTTTCTTGATTTATCTAAAAAAAACAGCTGATGAACAAACCCTGACAAGCATATAACAGAATCTTCTATGTAGACTACACAAGTCTGATATAAACCAATCAAAGCTAATCATATATAATATATATAACGATATGCTGATAAACTTCTTTATTTTTTACAGATGTACACCTGTGGATTACCTTGAATGAAATTCTAAAATATTGTACAAACCAAAACTTGAATAAAACTACATGAAATGTATTTATTATAACGTGATATAATTTATTTTGCATTTCATATTATAGACATTTACTCTTTGTTTTTCTAGGGTTACTTTTAACGCTACAAATCTTTGTATTTGGGTTCTTTGTTATATATATATATATATATATATATATATATAAGAATAATTCTTGTAAATGTTTTGAATTCAATATGTTTTCTTTGTTTTTGGTATTTGTAAATTCATACTCATACGCATACACATATGTACTATATATGATATATCCATATCATACTATATATATATATATTGTTAATACCTTCTAAAGACCCTGCACAACAACCGAAAGTCAAATCAAAAAACATATATGCCTTCGATATAGACTTATAGAGAAGCACACACTGAAACATTTGATTGATACAAATATAGTTTCTTCTATATATAGAGGGATATAGAGTTATGTTTAGCGTTATAAAATTTTTAACTTTATGTGGAAAGACAACATTTATAAAGTTCTTTTTCTCTTTGAAGTATTCATAAATTTCTTGATTCATATTTGATTTGATGCTTTAACAAACGTATAGAAGTCCTACAACTAATTAATAGGTGCAAGAATAATATGCCAGGGCAAACATAAATAAATAAATAATAAAATTAAAGTCAATAATTCATTCCAATTGGAAACTGTTAACGAAATGTCTGAAAGCGGTTCAGTCCTATCGAGCATTATATTCGAAACTTAAAAATATAATGGAAAGGGAACAAATATTCATTTTTTAACATCAATGACGATAGATAGCAAATGAATCAGGCTCAAGGAGTTATACGAATCCAATATACATACACATATATAGATATCAATTCCGTATGGAAGAAGTCTGTATGATATATATGTTAAGATATATATATATATATATAAATTTATAAGCCATATAGGATGTGATGTGAATCGTTTCTTTCAGAACCAAATTGCTTGCAGCTTCACGTGCACTTGTTTGTTTTTTTTGTAATGTTTATAATTTATTTTAATTTTTTTTTTGTTTTTGATGCATTAGCGTATAGATGTTTTTCAAAAACAATAAGGAATCAACAATATTCATAAAATGTATCATTATAGAATATATGATAAATGTAAATCTAAAAACTACGTGTTTATCTTTTTTTGTTTTTGCTTTTCTTTTTGTTTATAATTATAATTAAATAGTATGCTAGATAATATATATATATAATTTGAAATAATATTTTCTTGTGTATGAAATAAATAGTTTGTATGACTGTGTGTGTACGTGTAGGTGTTTGTGGCGCCATCTAGTGTCCGATGTGCTTCTTGATCAGCGCCTGCAGCAGGCGCACCTTTGCCTTTTTCTCCTTGTATTGCGCATAGGTCTCCGTTTCAAGACTCTTTCGGTCCGGCTTCAACATCTTGCGTCCATTTTGCTCCTCGAATATGGACTCGTATTCCTTAATGGTAGCCTTTAGCAGCATCTTCTCGTCGCGCACACGTTCCAGCTGCTCCCACAGCTGATCCACACTCAGCGCCGCTATATTCTCCGCCTGAGCTGACTCTGTGGCGGTTGCTGTGGTTGTTGTTGTCGTTGTGGTCGACTCATCGGAGGAAGCATTCTGTGTTAGGGTATTTGGCGCCATGGAATCGCTGGGTGAGTTCGTAGTCTCGGTACTATTATTCGATGAATACTGCAGCGGTGTCGATGTCGCCTCGAAGACCATAGCCTCGTGCTCCAAAATCGTGGGCAGCTCATGCACGCCGGCGCCACCGCCAAACATAATGTGACGGGAGACCAAACGCTTTAGCTGCCTGTAACGATCGTAGAGTGGGCGTGCCGCATCGCGTTCCTCCTTTGTAATGGGATGGCCATAGAGACTCTCGAAGTACAGCAGACCATGCTGCACGGCGCTCTTCTCCTGTACCAGCTGATCCGAGGTCAGCTCCTCCAGCTGCTGCGGTCGATGATTCTGCGTACGTTTCTCGCTGAGATTCTGCACATTCAAAAAAAAAAAAAAAAAACAGTGTATTAGCTGAGTGCTCAAAGCTCATAAACTGCGTCGCATTTATCAAACACATCCATCAAAAATTGTAAGTCCAAATTGATTTTTTCGTTGGCAAATTCACAAAGTGTCAAATGGGTCCGCCTATAACGTATAATGCCCCACGAAAGCCAAGTGCGATCCACTTGACAGTGAAAATTGTTGTCTTCGTAAACAAGTCAATTATTATAAATGGAATTTGCGAAAGAAAACAACTAAAAATAGAATTGGAAAATCGGGAAAAATAACAAGTGCAGCCTATATCCTCTCTATATATGTGATACTATCTACCCTTCAAAATAAGTGCACCACATATATATATATACCATCTATATATATATAGATGATATTATTTACCCCTTACAATATTTCTACATGTTATTTATGCCAATTTTCCATCCACTTCTTTCTGTTTCTTTGGCAGCCTTTCAAGTTTATTTGTTTTTGTAGTGGATATTGACCATAGCCAAGAGGCCTGTCTGCTAAACACGTTGCATATGTATGGCTACATATAATCGTGCTTATATAAGATACAAAAACAGCAGTTTCTCAAAACAAATCGTTAAGAAAATATAAATATATACATACACATGCATATGTATTATATCTGATCACATGGTGACATTTTGCTGCTTATGAAAAATATGGACATAGGAAAAAGTCTTCAGAACTTTTACTATAAACGAAACTCATTTGTCATATGGGGCATTAGGGAAATGACATTAGAATCGTTGTTTAATCAAATTGAGGTCGTGAAATTAAAGCTTTCACGTGCTTTTCTTTCAATCAGAAACCAAAAAAAAAAAAACAATTTTCTTAAGCCCATAAAAATACAAGCAACTGATAAAAGCGCTCTGAAATGTAACTCATTTATATATATATAAATATATAATATATAATCTATACTATATACTATATATATGGAATATGTGTTTTGTATTGTGTCAACTTTAATAGGCTTTTCTACAGTTATTACAGGTCATATAAGAAGTGCTTAGTTTCTTATGTGTCACATAACCAGGCACAACGCGTGGGCGTCGTTAAATGAAAATCGTTTTTAAATATTTATATAATCAGAAAATGAGGTAAAGTAAAGCTTTCATATAACTAATACTAGTCACTTTATATGCTGAGCAACTGTGTTTTACTTTTGCAACAGTTTTAATTATATATTTTGATAACTAAATATTTTAGGATATAATATTATATACATATACGAATTTCTTTCATTCTTTTCTTTTTAAACTAACTTCGTTTATAGATTGCCTTTATAATAATATTATATAATATGCTAATAGATTTAATTTCATTCTCACCAATCCTATCCTCTCTTATAACCCAATTTTCTTTGATTATTTGTGTCTTGTCAGTTAAGCTTATTCCAAATTGTCTCTCATTGTATTTTCAATCCGAAAATATGCGAAAGAAATGTCTTTTTTCGCTAACTCAGACACATCAGAATTTTCCATATATATATTTTTAATGGCTAACTTAGACAGTGTCATTAAATGTTCTTGGCGTCATTCGGGGCGTGTTCTAGTCCACTAAAATGTGTTTGTTGATTTGTCATTTTGGCATTTGCATGCCAGCCCCGCCCCGCCTGTTCTTTCGCTGCCCTTCCCTTCGCTTACCTGCTCGATTTCGCTGAGCGTATGCTTCATGCGTTCCAGTTTCTTGGCTGCCTCCTGGCCGCTGGCTGCGTAGCCTGCACCGCAGCCGCTGGCGCCCACTTTCAAGCCCAGCGCTGAGATGGGATCAGTCTTAAGTTCGTGACGCTCCTTGCGCAGCTTGCTGAGCTCGGCGAGTGCATTCTTCATGTATTTGTCATTCAAACGTTCCGCCTGGGATGGTCGATAGCCCAGACGCTGTTCCAGCGAATCTTCCAGCTGCACCAATTTCTTTTTAAGTGCTGTCACACGACGATTGATGGCCTTGACGCGCTCTTCGGGCGTCTGGAAGGCCATCATAGCGGGCACCACCTGCTGCATAACATCTCGTGTGCGCATGTTCTCCAATGAGCTAAACGCACGCACTGCATCCATGGGCTCCAGGCAATCCATATCCTCGCTGAGCAGCTGTACGCTGGACGCCTGCTTGGGCAGCTGTTGTGGATAGGGCATCACCTTGGCCAGCTTGGCAGCTGCATCAATATTGCCGCCGGCATGATGTCTCGAGTGGGCATAGCGACGACTCAGCACAGGCGCTGGCTCATCGCCGCGTACCCAAGGCAGGGATTCCTGGGCAGAGGTCAGATTGAGTGACTGCTGTTGGCGTTGAGGTGGTTTGGCCTTGACGGGCGCTGGATTTGGAGTGGTATCATCGCTGCCCGCCGAGCTGCAAGAGCTGCTCGTGGTGGGCGTGGGCGAAATGCTGGTGCTGCGCTTGCTTTGAAACTGCTGCTGCTGCTGCTGCTGCTGATGGAAGTCAATGAGATTGTTGTCATTGTGATCAGCAACGGTTGATGTTGTGCTTTGCTGTTGCTGCTGCTGTTGCTTCTTGCTGCTGATGAAGCCGCGTCGCTCGTACTTCAACGCCGACAGATCGTATTTGTAGGCGCTTTGCTCGTCCCGCCTTGAGGGCAAATATTTGCCCGCTGTGCTTGGCTTTTTGCTGACGCCTGATTTGCGCACCGGCGGCTGTCGCGACTTGCAGAAACGTTCGCTGCTGCGTCGACGCTCGTGCTCGCATTCGCTGTCATCGCTAGCATCGCGCTGCAGCTGCTGCTGCAGCAGTTGCTGCTGCTGTTGCTGCTTGCCATTGCGCACTGGCGAATGCGGCTGAGAGCGCGCCGGGCTTGTTTCATAGCGCGCGCGATCCTTAAGCACCTCAGCGTTACTGTTCAATGGCACATTGGCCAACGAGGCATTGTTCTCTTGCTGCTCGCTGTTGTCTGTGGCCAATTCAGCGCTTGCATCGCGCTCAAATTCCTGGCAATAGCTGGCAAAGCTGGCCGTGCGCTTGAAGTCTTCCGAGGAGACGCGCCGTATGACGTCACAGTTTGTAGAAGAGCGTTGTGTTAGCTGAGCTTGATTGGGTGTTGTTGCTGCTGTTGGTGTTCCTATTGTTGTTGTTGTGGATGCTGAGTTCGTGTTGATTGTTGGATCCGGTTCGGTTAACAGCTCCTCGCTGTTGCTGCGCTGTAGCTTGCGATCTTGACTGCTCGCCGAGCAGCTGTCCAAGCGCTCTTTGCGCTTACGTGACTTTTGCCATTCCAGTGGATTTATGATTTCGGGTAGATAGGTGGAATTGAAGCGCGGCGTTGCTGTTGCCTCCGTATTCGAGTGCTGCACCACATCGCAACTGTCCGTTGCAACGGTGGCAACGTCTATGGCTATGCCTGTGCCAGCGCCTGTTCCCGACGAGGACGATGATGAGGATGATGATGAGCCGGCGTTTGACGACGACGAATTTGATGAGGAGGATGAACCAGTGAGACGACTCAGGTCGTCTTCGTTAAGGCCAGTTGTGGGATGGCGCATGCCGCACTGCAAAATATGCAATAAAAATAAAACAGAATTCATTAGAAATTAATTAAAATATATGTATAAATTGAAAGATTGCTCATACGCCGCGTGGTGTGCTGTCTCGAGACGCTCGCAATCACGAGTCAATAATTAAAGCAACATTTGCGAGCGCATGACGCCAACTAAACGCCTTGACTGACTGACTGATGGGCTCAAGGCGCACTAACAGCGGTCAAAATGAGATGTCTTTCGATTTCTGGTCAATATATGGGCCCTTGTTAATGTAAGTCAAGTTCTGCTGCTGCAATTAACGAATTGTGACTTAGTGATTGAGTGATTGATTGATTGAAACTATGACTCAAAGTGCAGCTGCTTTTTTAAAAGCTAGAAAAACTAATTTTAGACTATCAAATCAGAGTTATTATATCTAAATTTAACGAATACTGATTGATTGACTGATTGACAGACTGACTCAACGCACAGCTGAATAACTAAGAACTGGAAAACAATGCTTGATCTATACAAATATAGATTTACGCAATCAAATCCGTGTCAGATGTCTAAAATTAATTATAATGATTGTATGATTGACTGATTTACGGATAAAAGAAAGCACAGCTGGAAGAATAAGACATAGAAACCAATGCTTGACTAATTGTACAGATGTCTATTTCCCATTTTAGACTAGTTCAGTACTTGCATGCAATGAAATCAGAGTTTATGTAGAGATATGTAAAATCATCGCGTACTAATGGATTGATTGATTAATTGAAACACTGACTCAATGCACAGCTGAATGAGTAAGATATAGAAAATTAATAGATATAGCTTAACGCTATTGAATGTTAGCCTTATATCTAAAATTAGCGAATCGGTGACTGATTAAAGGACTGACTCAACATCTAACCAGGCCATTCAATTGACCAATACTAAATATATAAATATATACAGTTATGCAATTTAATCAAAGCTCTTCATGTAGATTAAATATTTACCTATCTCCCCATGAACTCACACAATTCACACTCTCATAAATTTGATTAAAATTTAATTAAAATTAAAATTCAATTTGACCACGCAAACCCGCTTAATACTGCTTGTTAAATAATTAAGCAAAAACTGTTAAATGTCACGCGAGGCGACATTAAGTGGGTTAATATAACTTTCCATGAGTAATACTAAGTCTTACTAAGTTCTAGTATTGGATACATTTGCAATGTCATGCTTGACGCTGTGCTTCAGTCATCAAGGCGCAACCTTTTGCAATTAAAGTCGAAAGTGTTTAACGAGCTCGTCCGAATAGTTTAGTGACAGTTTTCTCACAATTGTAAGAACATCAACAGTGCAGCATAGCTGACATATGAGTAAGAGGTTGAAGCAGAATATTGACATATATGATATATGATATCTGGATTGCTAATGAAGTTCTAGTAAGTTCATTACGTAATTATATATACATAGATAAAGATAAGTTGGTAACTAAAACTGAATTAATATTAAATTTAATGATTTTTAAATTGAATAAAATAAGTAAAAATTATAATAAATTATGAAGCACATAAAAAACCTGTGAATACATTGCTCAGTGCCTGGTAGACAAATTTCTTTTATAAGAGAAAAAATAAATATTTTTTTAAGAATCGAACAGGCTTTAGAATAACATATTTATTGAAGCTGAGTTGCTGACGTCGATTAAAAATAGGTCGGCAAATAGATATTTAAATACGTCAATCTTAGAAGAGCTGAAGCCATGAGTACCACAATTATCACTCTTTATATAACTGACTGTTAAATAAATTACTCAATACAATACAGTAAATAATTGTATATATTCTCTACAAGGTTGAATATGGGGAAAAGTATATATATCCCTAAAGTTCCGCACAGCTTTTAAGCCAAAAATGTTCTGATGAAATTATATAAGCAAGTGTCTGATATTGATAAAGCATATATATATATATTTATATTCTGCTGCCCATATGCAAAATTTAAATGTAGCTCTCTTTAGTAGGTAAGAAAATAATTAAAATTTAAAATATTTAAATTATAAATTAAAATTATTGTTAATTTTTATACTTAATATACCAATATCCCTAACCACCCTAATATAATATATCCTTCAATAGTCTAGCAGCAACATTTATTTTTCTTATCGTTGCTTATATAACAAAAAATTAGCAAAAAATTAGCCACGCATTTAGGCCACTAAAATTTCACAACCATTTTTTTAGCAAATATATTAAACAAGCTTAAGTGTAGAAATTTAGTAATTTTATTTATTTACCAGAAAGTATGTAATAATTTTTGGCGTCATTGTAACTTTTAACTAAATTAAATCAGTCTGTTCTTTTTTTATATATACTTATATATATATGTATATATATATAAGTATTTAATTTAAATATCACAATTTTTTTTAATAAATTTATCACAATTTGGCAACGAAATTATAATAAAGAAATCTTTAGCGACTTCATAAGAAATCGCCTGAAAATTAACTTCAATCGAAGGCAATTGAAAATTTATTGCCTTTCGACAATTAAAGTCAAGTTTAAGGTTTCACTTGATTTATGTTTTATATATTTTTTCTCTTTTGATTTAATTGTATTTGAAAATTGTGCTTAATCACAATTTAAATGCAAGTCCTAAATTTCACATGTTTTGTGTAAAAATTTTTCTATTTTGTTTTTTCCGTAGCACTTGAAAATGTTTTTATTTTTTTTGATATATTTATTTTCGTTGTTTTCTCTGCGCGCGCCGAAATGCGATTAAATTCATTTCAACGTCGACCTCGCAAATTATATGCGAAAAATCTGGCGAGCACAGGCGAAACAGAGCGCGAATGAGCGTTAGCTTGTGTGTGAGAGTAGGAAATATATAAAGAGAGGCAGAGAGAACGAGCGCACTTCTGCGCACTAATCGATCATAACCGAAACCGAGAGCGAGCAGACAGACAAACAGAGAGAAAGAGTGAGAGAGAGAGTGAGGAAGAACGAGAGAGTGGGTGAGTGTGAGAGCGGAAGTACAAAGGTGCGAATATTTTCTATGGGCTGCAGACTAAAAGATTTTGGCGGCTGACCTTATCAGCCAACACAACCGGGCGTATGCTTGATTTATATATATATTTTGTTTTTTTTGATTTAATTATTTATGAACTGTTCTGCGTTGTGTGTGGGGATTTTTAAAAATAAATCACGCTAATTTGTCGGCTGTTTATGGGCATGTTTATGAATTTATGCACTTGTTTATGCCCAAAAAGCGAACGATAAGAATTATAACAGTAGCACATGCAAAAATTCAACTGAACTTTAATAAAGGCATTTGATATGCAAGCAGCGCAACTTAAAACTAAGCAAAAACTTCCTGAACAACAACAAACGGCTAACAGCTAGCAGCAAACAGTCAACTGTTTTTCAAGTGCAATGTCACAGCAAAAGGTCGCCGACGCAACAATTGTCAAATGAAGCCAAAAATGTGAGAAAAAAACAATTTCGCACAATTGGAGCTAATTAACTGTGGCTGCTGCCACATTGTGCAAAGCAGAACTGTGTCAGTCACCCTGCTTATGGGTTACACACAATCAATTAAATGTTTTTGTTGCAACAGACAACAGACAACATAGCACAGAGAGAGAGAGAGAGGCAGCCACAACAACAACAAAAACATACTGAGAATCTCTACGAATGACAATTAAAGCCCACGCGCCGCTGACGTCAATGCAGCAGGAGTGAGAGTGAGGGTGTGGGGGGTGTCTGTCTCGAGATACATACAAAATGGACGACGTGATCGCTGACAGTTGAGCGCCATAAGCACAAATGCCAAAAGGACAAACCCCACAGCCCAAGTCTATATCAAATTGTGGCGCGTGCAAAGCTTCATGCCCACATTCGGAAGCCCCGCATTAACGCTTATCAATTTAATTGGACCAAACTTAAAGACATATTGAAAATGGAATGGGCGAGGGACTTTTGCGCTAAAGGAATTTACAAGTGCTGACAGCACAAAATGAATGTGCAGCAATACAAATAAGTTCATAGATATAATGTATACGTATATATATACTTATATGAGTAAATATATATGTATATATCTGCCTATCTACATATTGTAAAATCGAAAGCACGCGCGAAGCTTGGTTGAATTTAATATCAAATAAAATAAATAATGAAATTAAAATGGATTTTATGGACAGATATCATTTAATTAATAGCTAAAGAAACAACTTTTAGGTTTGCCACTGGGTTTACAGCTATCTGGCAACGCTGTCTACGCAAATATGCCGCATTGAGTGCGCTGCGCTTAGCGCATGAAGAAATACATACAAGAAATGATGAAATAGGCAAGTTTACTATAAAAAGACAACAAATATTATATTTTATGAAATATTTAAATTAAAGACTTCATTTTAATTTGCTGCTATCTAAGCTACTCTGCTCTATATGAACATATATATTTGAATAGACTATATTCATGTAATACCAAATCGCTTTTATATTGAATTGTTACAAAATCATATCAATCTTTCTATCTATTTTACTGCAGTTCTCATATCTCAATCAGTTTTACGGCAAGTCTCTCTGTTAGTTAGTTATTCAGCCTTTTCCCAGAAACATGTGAATCTTCTTCTGTTTTACGTCAAGCTATCTGTCGGTTGTTCAACCAGTCAATTCGATAGGCTCTCCATCAAGTAACATCTTTATGTATTTGCCCAACTGTTTGTCAATTGTCTGTCAACTTTTCCCTGTCATTTCGACTTTCAGTCTGTCAGCAATATTTATGTATTTCACACATCTAATATACGCCATTTTTATATGTTTTTTGAATTTAGCATTTTTTTAAAAAACATTTTTTGGCACATTGCATATATATTTCAAAACGCGGATATATAGCATATCTCTAAAAGTATAGGTCTTTTTGAAATTGATATTTAGTTTAATTTAATTCCAAGTACATGAGCTAATATACTTGATAGACAGCTACTATATTTAATAGATAGCTCAATTAAAACAATATCTCTGTGG